CATGCTTTAAAAATGGTGAAAAGTTGAATTTTTTTAGCTTGCAATTTATTTAGAAAAAGTAGTGTCCGGTTTGTAGAGATAAAAAACAACGTTTCAGGACCAAAATGACTGTCCGCGTCCGGTTACGGGAGTGTCCGCTTTGCGGAGAATGTACGTAATGGTTTATTCATAGAAGATTCCCGGGGAATTAAAAATATGTCCGTATTGAGAGGCGTCCGTTTTGCAGGAGTGTCCATAACAGGAGGTTTCACTGTATATATTTTAAATTATCTTTTTTTAAACAAATATTCAATTTTTCAAACTACACTTTAATTTGTTAATTTTTCATTATTCATTAACTTTAATTTCTTTTTCATAACATGTAATATACATTAAATTAAAGAATTAAGAGATACATTTTTAAAAAAAATATTTTTTTTTCTCCAAAAAAATATTTAAAATGGCAATTGAAGATATCGGTTTAAGAAGGCTTATATTATATACTTTTTATATATTTTATTTTATTTTATGACCGTCGTTGAACAGCCGACCCAATTTCATGGGTTTACGACTACTTACCTTACGTTCAACTCCGTAGCCTTGTAATTTTGAACCAATCCAGAAGACAAGGAAACTCCTGGATCAGTACCCCCAGAGGTATTGATTTGTTGTGGGAACATGGAGGACTTTGAGACTCGACAGATTTAACGTGCATCAGTCACCATTTACTACACGGGGAGTCTTCGGCCGGCGAGGATCGAACCCACGACCTCTTGGATATGGGCCCAGCGCCCTACCGACCAGGCTATCCCGGCCCATACTTTTTATTTAGAGAAGTTTTTGTTATTTATTTTAATTTTTGTTTAATGTTATTGGCAATTAACATATGTTCAGATTAATAAAAGTTTAATTCTTGCAAAAATATTTATGTGTTGCCACCCCTGAAAAAAAGCATTCGTAACTTCCTTTATATTTCTTCCATCCATAGCAAATCAATTTTTTTGTTTAAGTGAACAGGAAGTCGATAAAAAGTCAATTTTAGAAATAACCTGAAAATTACCCTGTGCAAAGTTTTAATGAAATACTTCTAATACATAGAAGTATGAGAGAATTGGTGAGTTTCTGGGTCAAGAATTTTGGCAGGATTCGAAGATACCCTAAAATACGCCAACGCCAATCTCAATGTGTAACACCTACGCTGCCGTGCAATTGAAAAAGTGCTTAAGATCAACTCACGATTGATTCCGAGTAAAGCGACTTCACAACTATTTACGTTTTATTTCAAGTGCTATGAAAGCTAAACTAGAGTTTCAAAAAGCTAATAAAATAAAATGTATTTTTAATTTTTTCTTCTTCTTTTTTTGCAATATGTAGCTTACCGTACAAAGATGCCATATTTATAAAATTCTTAATTTTGAATTTTTTGTCACATACGTTGATTTTTAGCTTGCGTTGATTTTAAGTTCTTAGATTTTTAGCTTTCTCGCAGTTTTTTCTCACTCTCAAAAAATTTCATTTGGAACGTTCATTCTTTTAAGTATAAATGGAGGTAATGGTAAATGTTAGTACTGTTAAATAAATTTCAGATTCTGTAGTTCTTAGTTAATAATTATCGTAGTTTCCTCTATACTATTTAAACATTTTATTTAGCTAACATTTATACCACATAAATATGAATTTACTGTTTCCAGTCTCAGGTATTAAAAAACGTTTTTATAGAAAAGCTGAGATTATAATTTACATGAAGTAAGCGCAGTAAACTCGCGTTTCTGCAGTTCAACATTTAATACAATTCTAGAAAAATTCTATCCAGCATAAACTACAACCTAATTTGCACCTTTTTTATGGTTCATGGATGAATTTGTGATATGTTTCCATTCCTGACATGTAATATTTAAAAAAAAAATGCATAAGCAATAATAACTATTTCGCATCGGACTACCGTGAATGATTTCATATATTGTATGATTAAATAGCAGCTATTCAGCCCTGAATACATTTTGTTCGAATGATCGAATATTCACGAACTAACTGTCCAACTTAATGATTTAAAGGCCGAACATTAAATAAGCTAACTAATTACTGCTAAGTTAAGTTTCAGAATCAGACACAATTTTTTTTTCTTCTCTGTATTACTTCCCAAAAGTCATCAAAGCCAGTCATTTATGACTTCCGGGACTGGTACCCGCTGATGACGTCAGCTTCAGCTGTCATTATATTTCCCATTTTCTTCTTAATTTTTACTGTTCCTTAAATTTCGCCTTTTGTAAATATATTTTTTTAGATTGCGGCTATATCTCGTATTTTGAGAGTCAGAGATTTAAATATGTCGAAAAAACGGTATGTTTATTATGATGAAGTACGTTTTCGTGTCTGATTCTCTAACTAAGATAATTCGTACATATTAGCATATTGGAGGTCACCTCTTTAAATCATTATGATTAGTACTGAGTTCGAGGAAAGAGGATCACTTTAACGAAAGTTATTCATGTTGTTATCTTGCAGTGAAGAAAACTAATTTCACTCGAATTACTTTTGGATAAAATGAGGGTTATTAAATAAGTTAAATACTATATCAATATTTTTCTTAGTTGAACTACAAGATCAGACACGAAAATGAGTTGCTTCTGAACAAAAATACTTTTATTTCGGATTCTTGACTTAGAAATACAGTGAGTAGCTATCATCTGAAATATATTGTCCTAATAGTTCAGTTGTTGAAATATCACATTTTGAGATTTTTTATTCTATATCTAGATATTTTATGAAATTTTTGTTATTTTATTCTGTTTCCAAATATTGAATTTGAGGCACTCCTGTCGAAACTATTAGGGCCATATTTTAGAAATTTCCTTTCTATTTTGACTATTCTTACTTTAATTAAGAATTCAGATCCCCATGAAGCAGAACCAACTATATTTTCGTGTTAGCAATCAATTTTAAAATGTATTGAAACAGAGTAACGTTTTAAAAATTGAATTAGAGTCTATTTATTTACAATTTTTTTTTTACTTTTTAGGTTTTTTGATGATGATGAAGACTACGATACGTGGGGGCAAAATTGGGATGATATGTCTGGAAATCCTCTCAACTTCCGTGCAATTCAACTTCTGGATCTTTATAGGAGGTTCACTTATCTCGATAAATCTGAATTGCCCGAAATGGCTGTGCGAGTACTCTGGAGCTCTATCCCAGATCCTCTTCTGACCAAGACCGATATTTTTAGAATTTTTAAGGGGATCAGTCCTAGATACTATCAGAAGATAAATGACGTATGGCAATGGTACTGCAATCTAGTAAATTATGAGGAAACGTCTGATAAGCGTCCAAGATCTCTGAAACATCTTTCAAGATGCATCATCAGAAACAGATTAAGAGACAACATTAAGTTGCCCGAAGGAGTGGAAGAACTGGGCGTTCCCAAACAAGTCCAGAAGTATTTACTTCTGAAAGATTTCTACACGATAGATTGAATACTTGAACTTGGAATCATTTATTCAAAGTATTTCATGAGAGATATTAAGGACTAATCTCGAAAGGATTTGAATGTTTTAATTATGATATCTCCATACGTTATTGTTTCCTATGAACACACTCTTTGCGCTATTAGTTCCACTGTTGAACGTGGAATATTTTTTCTTCATATTAATAAACAGTGTACGATTGACTTTTGTTTGCGACTTTCAAATAAATTTTTTCTTATTGATTGTTTCGTTTATTTTTAGTTTGTTTGAAATATCTATCTTCATTTATAAGCTTTTGATGAAACAAAACAGACAGAAACCAAATATGCATCTTGATTTTATCATGTCATGTATCAAACCAGAGGCATCCAAACATAAAAATTGGCAGATCTCAGTTTGCTGTATTACAACCTATCTATATTTTATGCGTAGATAAATTACCATATAAAATGTGTATGTGCTATTCACGAAAATGTGAATTTACTATTAACATCACAGTTGTTTGCCGAATAAATACATTGAATTACTGAATATGGTGATTTGAAACAATTGACTTTTTTATTTTATAGCCGTCGTTGATCAGTCTACCCGAATTCGAGTCTATGGCTATCGATGCTCAACTCCGTAGCCTTGTCATTTTGAGCCCAATCCAAAAGACAAGAGAATCCTCGATTAGTACCCCCAGAGGTTTTGATTTGTTTTGGAAATTTGGAGGACTTTGTGACCCGACATATTTCATGCAAACAAGTCACCATTTAAAGCACTGGGATTTTTTTTGATGTAGCAATAGATAGTTTTACAAGTGTAAAAAGTTCTAGGAAGAAATTGGGTAGTTACTTTTATTACTCAAGTAACTGAAATTAAGAAAGAAAGAAAGAAACAATGCACTTGTTTTTGACACGGTCTGGTTAAATAATATAAATTTTTAAATATAACTACAAAGATGTAGCACGGGTTTCAGTTATAGCAGTACTGCCAACTCCTACTTGAAATAACCGAAGAGTCACTTTTAACAGTGATGTTTCACTGTTAAAACTTTTTGTCAAATTTGTAAGACGTCCTCTCTGTTAAGATGCATTATTTGGATATTAAAAAAATATGTTTGCTATTTTAAAAATATAAAAATAATTTATTTTACCTTGAAATGTGATAATTTTAAAAAAAGTTACAGATAATGTTTAGGATAGTCCAAATCACAGAATTTAGCGTAAATAACAGTGATTGTTAAAAATGTGGGATTTTATTTGTCCCCCTCCCCTCTCTTACAAGTACTTTTAATTAACTTGTAATTTAATTGTGAAGCTCTTTTATTGTTTTATGTCAATTAGTTAAACATTGCACTCCCAAAGTAGCATATTATAGTAGTACTTTTGGTTTTAAAAGTATTTAATGTATTTTTCAGAATAAAATACTTGTGTGATTTCCCCTCTGTTACGCTTGAAATTCAACAAATACTTTAACTTAAATATTAATTTGAGGCAAAAAAATACATTAAAAGGAACGGTGAACCGTATTGTCCAATCTTCATACATATTTTCTGAACACCTTTTAAAAAACGATATATACTTACACAACACAAAACAAGTTTTAAATTCATAAGTACTATTATAATTAAAATTGCAATTGATACACCTTTATGTCTTGTAAATTATTATCTATTATTTATTTTATAAATCTTAACCATAAAAAAATGCAAATAAAGACAGAATAGAACAAAACACTATCCAGTGTTACACTATCATCCAAGGTAGCAAAAAGATATGATCTAATATTAGAAAGATGCAATATAATACTACCGTGCTGGAAAACGCAAGACTCTTGACTCCTATCTTCTAATATTACATAAGATTAAATATAAGTAGTATTGGATCTAACATTCGAACTTTTAGAATTATCATTTATTTCATTACTTTTGGTACAGCGCCATATTTTTGCGAAAGGGCATCCCATATTTTTAACAAATAAACATTTATTTATGAAAGAAAACAATAAATTAAATATTACTTAAAATATCATTTTTAGCCAGTGCAATTTTACGCAAGATAATATTAGTGGCAGTTCGCTAACGATACAACTTGAAAAATGTTATCAACTGTTGAGTTGTAACTTCTTCATGATTGTTTACATTCGCCATATTGTTTGAGTGTCGTCCGTCAACATTTATTATTAAAAGACAAACATGAATAAATATTATAAGAAAAGAAAACTGCTTCGGAAGACATACAAGATTATTTAAAA